CACGTGTTTGCAAAGTGGCTGAATTCAGCGCAATTATATTGCGGGCCGTATTGACCACCACTTACTCCTTTCAAGATTGTCAAGTCGTTTTGGTATTACGGGTAGAGTACTTACATGGTTCAGATTCTATCTCTCTTAACGCAAACAGTCTGTTCTCGTCGATGGAGAAAGATCTTCGAAGCATGACCTACACTATGGAGTACCTCAAGCTCTGTATTGGGATCGCTTCTTTATGTTCTCTATACATCACCTCTGGGAGACATCATGCGGAAGCACGGCTTTTCATTCCACCTGTACGCTGATGATTCTCAAATATACTTGTCCTTCACGTTTTCGGTTGTTACTGATGTTGAATCTTCAAAACGCATAGTTGAAGAGTGTGTTAAAGACATTAACCTTTGGATGTCCAGTAATAAACTGAAACTCAACMACGATAAAACTGATTTTCTCGTCTTATACGCTCACCACCGACCTTCGCCAACTTTGGATTCAATTCTTTTTGGTGACGAATTAATTCAAGTTAAGGACAGTTCCCGGAACATTGGTATCATCTTTGATAACACCTCGACTTTATACAGGCAGATTACTGCTATTTGTCAATCATGCTTTTTTTCACGTTAGAAATATTGCGCGTGTGAGGAGATTTCTTAGTTGTGATGGTACTAAGCTTTTGATTCACACTTTGTCAGTGTCTATACTTGACCAAGGAACATCCGTACYTCGTGCACATTTTGGGGTGGCGGCATGTATTGTATAGCTTTCACCTTGTCTGGATCTACTTCTATGCCTTCCGAACTGAGTATGTGACCAAGGAATTTGATTCTGGGTACACTGAACACACACTTTTCTTTGTTGAGTGTCATGATGCCTGTTTTCTATATGCGCTGGAGAACTACTTCTAGCCTGTCGTCATGCTGCTTTAGGCTTGCGGCGTGTACTAGCACGTCGTCGATGCTGCACTCTACTCCTTCTGCACCTTCAAGGATTTATCGTTCATGGTCTTTTGGAACTTTTCTGAGCCAGAGCGGATGCCATATGGCAACACGTTAAACATATATCGGCCCCATGGTGTAATGAATGTGGTTAAGGGTCTGGATTCCTCTGACAATGGYATCCGCCAAAATCCAGAGTTCGCGTCCAATTTCGTGAAGACTTTTGCTCCGGAAAGTCTTGCGAGTGTTGTTTCTTCTGCTGGTAGGGGGTGGTTTTCTCTCTCCACAAATTGGTTCAGGACTGCTAGGTCCACACACAATCTTACTTTGCCGTTAGTCTTCGGGTTCACTACCATCATGGGAGCGCACCATTGGGTCGGTCTCTCGACTTTCGACATGACTCCTGTTTCCTTATCTTCTCCAGTTCTTTTTTTGTTTTTGTTTCCTTGTACAGGGGGAGGGGTACCTTTCTCGGCACTGTTACAGCGAACGGCTTGACGTCTTCTTTCAGGCTTATGCTGTAGCTGTGTTCGTCCTTCATTCTTCCAAGGCCGGTGAACAGTTCTGGGTATTTTTCAAATACTCTGGCGTTCTTGTTCACATTGTCTACTTGCATTATTAGCTTCAGTACCATTGCTGCTTTTCGTCCTAACAGACTTCTCTCTAGATTTTTCACTACGTATATTTCTTCATTCGCTGTCTTTCCCATGGATGAAGCGTGGAGCTGTGCTTTAAATTTCCCTGGACATTTCATTCCGTGCTTGCACGGTCCCGCCCTCAGAACTTTGTTGGTTGTTTCTAACTTCCCCAGGAGTTGCAGTTCTTCAAACTTCTCTTCTGGTATGACGGTGACGTCAGCAACTGTGTCTATCTTGAACCGGCTCTAACGCTTTCTTGCCATTGAATTGAAGCATGGTTTTCATCGGGTCTTTGCTTGTATTTATTTTGTCAATATCCACTATTTCTCCAAAGTCGAATGATTCTTTGATGTCGCTGTCTGAGGATACGCTCCTTGTGTTGGCGGGCTTGGTTGTTACTGATAGTCAATGAACGTAGGACAGGCGTGATGTGATTGTATTTTGGCGTGTTCGTTACTAATAAAAAAGGGAGCCGCCGCTTTGTTCTTTCTTTGGCAATAATTACATTCATTACGTCAATTTGAATAATACGCAGAGAATTTAAAAAACATTTCCTTTTCGGCTTGTCAAAGTAACTCAAAATAAAGTTCTGCGATTATGTTTTGTCTTTGTTGTATGTGGATATAACTGCTCACAACTGAAAACCGCTAAAACAAAGCGAAAAATGTTCTCAGTGATTAAACCTCCACCTGAAACAATTAGAACTTTGGACAACAAATCCTTTCATGAAGAAAAAGTAAAAAAAATCTTTATAGAACTGACTTTTCGTTTTGCCAAACAACGGAATGACGTCACATTCAGTATTTGCATTTCAATAGACATTTCTAGCTTGGACGTGTCCTTGGACGTAATATTTTCCCGTTCATTCATTCATGGGATCCCACAACTAGATAGTGTTGACCAATTCTGCAAGAAACTCTCTTGAATGTTCACCTTATGAACTAACAAATCCTGTTTGCGTGATTTACTTGCTTACAAATGCTTTACTGGAGAAGCCAAAGATATTGTTCACAACTTCTGCTATTATCAATGACTTTTAGATTGAAGTACTGATTGCAAAGACTGATGCAGCAGAACTTTGAAAGAAGAAAGCATACGAGACTAATATTTTGTCATTAGAAAGCTTTAGGAGGAAGCCGTGTTGACAAATGCTGTTTGTGATTATCCATAATTTAAAGGGCCACTTGGACGAAAATCGCTCCAAAATTAAAACTCTTTCATTCGAACTGGAACTTTGCTGAAATAATCTTGAATACATTAAGAACCACCCACTGGAATATCTTTCTGATATTCGAAAGGAAAGGGCCAAAATTTTACGATTTATTTTCGTCCGTCATTAATTTCTTTGAATCACAGAATTCGACTCAAGAAGACTGGCACGAGTACTTATGACGTCATTTACTCAACCCAAACCAAAACATTGGTGGGTAATGTATGTGCCATGTTCGTAAAACTCGGTTTATTTGGTTTATTCAGAAAATATATAATGTTTCATTCGGTTTCCTA